AGGCAATAGGAGTAAAGCACAAGAACCCTGTGCCCAAATAGTTGAGGCCAGGGACCAATGCCGAGATCTAAGGATCACAGTTTGAAGCCAGCTGGGGCAGGAAAGTCTGTAAGTCTCTTACCGACCAGTTACTACCCCAAAAGCTGGAAATGGCGCTGTGCCTCAACGTGATAGAGTGTAAAAAGCTCAGGGACAGTTCAAGCCCCAGGACTAGCACAAACAAAACAAAGAATTTTGATATTGTAGAAGGAATTCCTTCCTTCACTCTCTTTTCCCTTCCCTCCCTCTTCACGTCTCTCTCACACACATATATAAACACACATACACTCCCCCCCTCCTTTCTTTCAGTTAGTGCCTTACTACAGAGCTGACTCAAACTCGAGGTCCTACTGTCTCAGTTTCAGTTCCCCAAGAGCTGGGATAATAGGCATGAAATTTCTGGCACTTTATGTTTACTTAAGCATATTAGATGTTATATTGGGAAATCTATATATTTTGTCCCAATAATTGGATTACTTAATTCAGTTGATATCTGTTAAGTGATTTTGAATTGGAAGTCTTGTTTTTGAAAAGCTGGATGTGCTCTACTAATTGAGCTATATTGCCCAATCCTATTTTGTTGTTGTTGTGGTTTTAGTTTATTTTTTGGCAGTACTTGTGGTTTTGAAATATATATAATTGTAAAGATACTGTACAGAGGGGTTGCAGTTACACTAGCAAAGTAATGAGTCCATTTCCTATCGAGCATTATTACCCTCTCCTTTGTTTTTCCCCTACCATCCCTTTCCTCCCCACTTCCCCAATTCCCCCCTCCCCCCCAAAGTTGTAAAGTTTGTTTTCAACATAGTGTCTTGTACATCTCATTGTTACAGTGGGTCAACCTGTATCCTTATTTCAGCATTTTGTTATTTCCCTTAGAAAAATGTATATACAAGATGCAGGACACCAGACTCAAATACAGTGACAAAAGGGGTTATACCATGGGGAAGAACATACAAAGAAACAAAAAAAAAATCACACAGTACATTATAAGTACATTAAAAAGAACAGCAAGAAAGATAAAAAGTACTTGTGTTTGAACTTGTAGCTTTCCACTTGCTAGGCAGGTATCTACCACTTCCTTATAATATGCAGTGTGTATAAAGATTTGTATGTATAATCCTTAATAATTTCTATAATAACTGACATAATATGACTCTCCCTCCCTCTCTGACTCCTGATTGCTTGGTTTATGATCACAGATGTGACTGCTATTCTTTCACTTTATAAAAGGTGGTCTTAGCTGAGCATGGAGGCACATACTCATAATCCCAGCAGTCTGGAGTGAGGCAGACAGAATGTTTAGTGCCAGTCTGGGTTACATGGTGAGAAAGAATCTTACTTTTTCATTGTATGTTTTTTATTAGTGTATATTTATTGTACAAAGTTTCATTATGGTATTTCTACAATACAAATAATGTATATTGATGAAATCCACTCTTTCTATTATTTTTCTTTTTTTTCTTTTTTAAACAGTTTTAATGGATTTCAGTTTTCTCTTTCATTCCGCTGTATAAAGTACATTAGTCATATTCACCCTTTTCAACTCTCTTCTTTTGCCCTCCCCTCTTCCACTGGTTCCCAGATCTAGACAGTTCCCATTTTACACTCATGTCACTTTTCTTAAGGTCTAGATTCCACATAGGATAGAGACATGCTTTTTCTCTTTTTCAGTCTGTTTCACTTAATATGATGATTTCTGTTTCCATCCATTTTCCTACAGACAACACATTTCATTCTTCCATATGTCTTCATAATACTTCATGTATAGATAGTTATGTATAGATACCATTCATTAGTTGATAGTTACCTAGGCTGGTTTCATAGTGTGGCTGTGTAAAGAGTGCTGTTATAAACATGGGTGTAGACATTTATATTGTGTGCTGACCTGCATTCCTTTGGGTATATACCCAGAAATGGTATATTCTTACTCTTTTCCATCTTCATTGGCTGTTTATCCTATTTCTGTAATGAATATTTGAACACCTACTGCATCAGACATTGTTTCAGGTATTAAATACATAATAGTTAATGAAATATCAAAAAGGAGCTTAAATTCTGTCTTACATTTGACTAAAATGTGAAGTGATCAAATGATGAGACGTGCTGTGGAGAATGGTAGGAGGGAATTTGGCAGCGCAGTTGCAAGGAAGCTGTACTTTAGTAGTTGTCCATGGAAACTGGAATTATTGACTGGAGGATGAAGAAACAGATTCAGGGCTGCTTATGGTGACTGACAAGGAATTTAGAACAGAAATTACTCCTTAGGTTCTTAAGACAGAGGTTGTATCTATAAAGTGTTGCCAGAGGTATACCAGGTTCTAGCCTACCTCTTCACTTTTTGGAGGACAGGAAAGGGAGGATCTTACCCAGAACTTGTGGTGTTGTGGTATTCATCGACTGTTTATCTCCTTACCTCTGTCTCTGGTGGCTGGAGAAAAGAAGTTTTAGTGGGTGTGGGTGTGTGTGTGTTTTATAAACCTCATTCCTGCTGAGTGATTCAATTACTTTGAGTTGCCAAAACAAACAGTAAAGTATCTTATAAAGTGTATTTTCCTGTCGCCTTCTCAAAGAAAATAAGCAGAGCTTTGAGCCTGCCAAGTCTTTGTTCTATCTTATAAATCCTAAGTATATTATTTCTGAGTTTGGAATATTATAGAAACTTTTTAGTGTTTCATTTCATATCTTTAGACAATTTCCCTTGGCTTTCTGGTGTTATACTGTTAATCACATTGATTAGACATGAAAACATAATTTAAAATACATTTTTTTAACCTGATTATGAGTTTTGAACTCTGGGCCTGGGCACTGTCTCTCAGCTCTTCAGCTCAAGGCAAGCGCTCTACCACTTGAGCCACAGCGCCAGCCATTTCTGGTTTTCTCCTCTTCCGGTTGGAGATAAGAGTCTCACGGACTTTCCTGCCCAGGCTGGCTTTGAACTGTGATCCTCAATTCTCAGCCTTTTTAGTAGCTAGGATTGCAGGTGTGAACCACCAGTGCCCGGCTTGAAATATAATTTCTAGAAAAGAAATACTCCTTTACTTGTAAGGGTGGTACTTTCTTGTAGTCCCAGATACCTGGGAGGCACAGGACTAGAAAGAAAAGGACCAGGGCATGGCTGAAGTGACAGAGCCTTGCAAAAATCTTCTCAAAACTTAACTGTTGTTTGAGGACGGAAGGTGGACCACCATGCCCAGATTATTGTTTGAGGTGCGGCCTTGCTAACTTTTTACCTGAAATGGGCTTGATCCTCCCTATCTCACCTCCCAAGTAGCTGGTATTATAGCTGTGTACCACCATACTTGGCCATTTTCAAGTGTTTGGGGGTTTTATTTGTGTTTTTTTGGTGGTCATGGGGCTTGAACTCTGGGGTTGGGCACTGTCCCTGCGCTTTGAGGCTCAAGGTGAGCATTCTACCACTTGAGCCACAGTGCCACTTTGTGGTTTTTTTTTTATGCCATACTATATATTTATAATTTGGTTTTATAAAATGTAGATATGTGGTATAACCTTTAAACAGGGGAAATAATTTAAAAAGCATTAGGGACTGAGATTCTATGTTAGCTATGTCATTAACTAGTTAATAACGTTCCTTCTCTGTTGAACAGTATTGAAATCAAGTCTTCTTTCAACTCTAGTACTCAGCAATTCTGTAATGCCTACCATTAAGTGTTTTATTTAGGTCTTGTAAGGAAAAATAGCGTTTGTCATATGAAGTATAGTCAACAAATAAATATTCATTAAAAGTCCCAAGGCCGGGCTGGGAAGGTGGCCCAGTGGTAGAGTGCTTGCCTTGCATGCCTGAGGCCCTGGGTTCGATTCCTCAGCACCACATAAGCAAAAAGAAAAAAGCCGGAAGTGGGTCTGTGGCTCGAGTGGTAGAGCGCTAGCCTTGAGCTGAAGAGCTGAGGGACAGCGCCCAGGCCCAGAGTTCAGGCCCCACGACCAACCAAAAAAAAAAAAGGACAATGACCAGTGACCTGAGTTCAAGCCTTAAGACCAACTCTCTGTCTTTGTCTCTCTCTTTCTCTTTTCTTTCTTTCTTTCTCTTTCCTTCTCCCTCTCTCTCCTCCTCCCACTCCCCACCCCCACCCCAAGCATAAATCAGGACTTTTCAATTGGCAAGATTAAACACTCTCAGAATCCTACTGATGTTTTGAGTCTAGTGCTATGGCTCTGTTTTTAATTGGTTAACACTCCTAATAGTGTAATGTTGCTTTGTTTAGTTGAGTTTTTGGCAAGCAAATGGAAACATTGCCCACAAAGTATACAGAAGCAGATTAAAAATATGAAGATGAATTTGAGTTTAACTTTTAGTCAATAAATAATTGAATGCCTTTTCATAAATGACACATCTTTATACGTTTTCTTGGGATTTTTTTTTTGGCATGAAACTCATTTATTGGATAATGTTCATTTTGAGTTTTATTCTAAGAACCCTGCTATAGAGGGATTGAGTTTGTTACGGACTTCTGATTGCTTGCTATGTAAGCTATTTCTGGTTCTAGAATTACTGCTTTGAATTTATCTCTCTTTGTATTAGTGTGAACTTGCATTTGCTAAAATGATCAAAGTATTTTAAATTTAAGTATTGATGTTAGGAATACCTTAGTTATTAGACTTTCACAGTAACCAAGTACTTTCATTTTACTTATGTGCTCAGCTTTACACATGAAAGGAAAAAGCACAAAAGTTCATACCCCATAAACAAAGGTTATTCTGAAAGAAATATGTAATTTATTTGAAGTCAAAATATCTTGACCCTGCCTAGTTAAAATTTCCTTAATATCAGAGTAAGGAGCCCAGGTTGTAGGTAATGGGAATGATTTTGTACTGTCCTGGGAAAATATATTGGCAGCATTAAAAAATATTTTTCCATATGGGTTTAGCAGGAATTTAGAGCATAAGTGAATATCCAGCAGACATTCTATCTGAGTATCTTTATGATTTTTGTTTTTCAGGCATTTAAAAATATTTAATCATTCATGAGTTGAACTTCATTCTTGAGTTATGGATGACAAGGCTTCTGTTGGAAAAATCAGTGTCTCCTCAGACTCAGTATCTACCCTTAATAGTGAAGATTTTGTCTTGGTTTCCAGGCAAGGAGATGAAACACCATCTACAAATAATGGAAGTGATGATGAGAAAACAGGACTCAAGGTAAAACTTCATAAATTAAGTTTACTTTGTTTCCTCTTGTAAAGCCATTATAGACACAGCCTTAATAGAAAAGAGGAATGGCAGGGAAAATGAGAACATGTAATCAATGTAATGTTTGCATTATATATACTTAACAAGAAACTCACATTAAGGATTTTTATTTTTATTAGCATTTAAATTTTCCAATACTCCTATCAACACTAGAAGTAAGGATAAACATTTATAATTTTAATTTTGTTTTCACTTTTCTGTTGATTTAGAAGTACTTGTTTGTTTTGAACCTTGTGTGTGTGTGCCCGTGGGCATGTGCATGTGTGCATGCGTATTCACATATGTGTATTGGCAAGGTCCATAATGGTAGTTATGAAAAATAAAAGTTTAGGATTACTAAGATATAACCTTAAATATCTAGCCTTTGATTATTTCTCAGTCAAATAAATAACTATAACTTTATTTTCCATACTCTGGTATTATTTATTATTCTGCTCTTTCTGGATATAAATTAAAAAACAGATTGTTAAAGCTGTCATTAAAAAATAAGAAATTAAAATATTTTAATTCCTGTTTACATCTGTTTATTCAACAAGAGTTTATTCTGGGGATACAATGGTGAACAGCCTCAGACCAAACCACCTGCCCTCTTAGAGCTTTCATTCAAATGGTAGAAATAGACTAATAAATAAGAAAAGGAATATGTCAAGTAAGTTTAGATCTCAAGAAGAAAAGTAGGATAAGAAGAAGTGAGTGACTTTGATTGTTTTTTGCCTTTAACAAATTTTTTCAAAAAATCTTAAAATATTTTTATTCTCACTCAAATATATAGAAGAATAAAGAAAAATAATAAAAAATAGTGAATGACCGATTCTGTTTTAGAGATTGTCTTGAGAGGAGGTAAGACTTGAAAAGAATGAGGAAGAGAGCCATGGAGAATATTAGAATTTACCCAAAGAACAGATAGAAAACAATGAAGAATAATAAATGGAGCTAAAGAGAAATTTGGGACAATATGAAGTGGACTGATATACTTGTGTGGGAATATCATGAATGGAGGTAGGAGAGAAAGAGTAGGGAGAAAGATAAACAGACAAAAATAGCTAAAGAACCAGCACCACATAAGCAAAACAAAACAAGCCGGAGGTGGCGCTGTGGCTCAAGTGGTAGAGCGCTAGCCTTGAGCTGAAGAGCTCAGGGACAGCGCACAGGCCCAGAGTTCAGGCCCCATGACCGGACCCCCCCAAAAAAAAATCGAAAGAAATGATGCCTGAAAACATCTCAAACTTAATGAAAAGTTACACTGGACACATTCAGAAAATTCAGTCAACTCCAGGTGGGATAAATGCAAAGAGCTCCACAGAGAAGCACATCTTATTAAAACTGTTAAAAGCCACCAGGGTGCCAGCGGCTCACATCTATAATCCTAGCTACTCAGGAGTCTGAGATCTGAGGATTGCAGTTTGAAGCTAACCCAGGCAAGAAAGTTCATGAGACTCTTATCTCCAATTAACCACCTAAAACAGGAATTGGAGCTATAGCTCAAAGTGGTACAGTGCTAACCTTGAGCAAAAAAAACCCAGGGACAGAGCCCATGCCCTGAGTTCAAGCCCCATGACCGACCCAAGGGAAAACAACAACAACAACAACAACAACTTAAAAGCCAAAAACAAGGATAAAGTTTTGAGAGTATTTGGAGATAAATGACTCAATATTTTTTATTGTGAAAATACTGTACAGAGGGGTTACAATTACATGGGCAAAATGACTCAATATTTTTGAGACACCCTCCCTTCCCACTTCTCCTATTCCTCCTCCTCCTCCTCTCCTCTTCTACCCCTCCTAAGATTTATACCCAACATCTCGGTAGAAACACTAAAGACAAGAAGCCAGTGGGATAAGCTATTTCAGAGAAAATCCTACCAACTGCTAGGGCTGGCCTCAGGAAGATACAACTTGAAGATTTTCTGAGTTCTAAACTATTTCAGGAAAATATCACAGTATTCTGGTTTCATAGTACATATGAACTTATGTTTTGACTACACAGTTAAGTGTGCAATACTATTTTGTGTAAAAATAGAAAACAGTATTCACACTTTAATTAAAAAAATACTTTAGGCTTGATGCCAGTAGCTCATGTCTGTCTTCCAGCTACTTAGGAGGCTGACTGATCAGGGTGGTGATGGCTGAAAGGAAAAATGAGTCAGTTTCTTACAATAAGGCAACAATGAATTTTGCTGCATGGATTAACTCTTCCTTTTGATGGAAAAAAATGTTTTATGTAGCATGCAAACCTTTTTGAGAGCATTTTACCCATGTAAGAACTGCTTTCAGAATTGAAGTCCTGCCCTGCTTTTGCTTTATTAGTTAGCTTTATGTAATATTCAAAATCCTTTGTTGTCATTTCAGCAATATTCAGAGCATCTTAGATTACTTTCTCAGGTAGGTGTGGCAGCGCAAAACTGTAGTCCCAGTTACTAAGGAAGTGGAGATTGGGAGGTTGACAATTTGAAGCCAAAAATTTGTGAGATCCCCATCTGAACCAATAACTGGATGTTTTAGTACATGCCTGACATCCCAGCAAGGCCAGAGCATAAGTAAGATGATAACATTCCATCCAGGCCAGCCTGAGCTAAAATGTGAGACCCTATCTCAGAAGTAAAGCAGAAAAGGTGTAGCTCAAGTGGTACAACACTTGCCTAGCCAAGTGCAGGGTCCTGAGCTCAATCTCCAGTAATTAAAAGGAAAAAAGGACAAAAATCACTTTGTTTGCACATCCATGACAAGAACCTCCTCATCTATTAAGTTTTATCAGGAGATTGTAGTAATCAAATACTACTTCATTCTTTGTGGTAGGCTTTGGTATCTGGGTATACGGCTTCAAGGAGACCACCATTGAGGATACATTGAATTGTTCAGGATATATAGTTCAAACACAACAGGTGATAACAAGGGAGTGAGAGCTTCTCAGCATCAACTAAGCTGCATAACAGGCACAGAAATTTCTTTTGGCTGCATTTGGTCAAAATTGTGTGTAATGAATATACAAATAAGCTGGGTTTACTGTATTTTTTTATTTTTTACTTTTTTTGTCGGTCATGGGGCCTGAACCTTGGGTCTGGGCACTGTCCCTCAGCTCCAGCTCAAGGCTAGTGCTCTACCACTTGAGCCACAGTACCACTTCCAGCTTACTGTATTTCGAATCCTAGTTTTCTTGCTAGTTCTGCATCGGCAGTTACTTCTTCTGCTAAAGTCTTAACTATTCAAATACATAGAATCAACTTCTCCCAAACTTCAATTTGATCTCCTCCTGTGAATAGAAAATGATCTTAATGGCATCTAGAATGTTTGTATCTTTTCAGGAGATTTTTTTTTTTTTTGGGGTCAGTCGTGGGGCCTGAACTCTAGACCTGGGCACCGTCCCTCAGCTCTTCAGCTCAAGGCTAGTGCTCTACCACTTGAGCCACTGCGCCACTTCCCGCTTTTTTGTTTTTGCTTATGTGGTGCTGAAGAATCGAACCCAGGGCCTTAGGCATGCAAGGCAAGCGCTCTACCACTGAGCCACCTTCCCAGCCCTTTTCAGGAGATTTTTAATTTATCCATATTCCTTAGAGAAATCACTGTCTCGAGCAGCTCTAGTCTTAAAAATGTCTTCCTGAGCCAGGTGCCAGTGGCTTACACCTGTAATCCTAGCACCTCAGGAGGCTAAGATTTGAGGATCGTGGTTCAAACCAGCCTGGGCAAGAAAATCTGTGAGACTCTTATCTCCAATTAAACATTAAAAAACCAGAAGTGGTGCTGTGGCTCCAGTTGTAGAGTGCTAGCTTTGAGCTGAAGAGTTCAGGGACAGTGGCCAGGCCCAGAGTTCAAGCCCCACGACTGACCAAAAATTAAAAAAAAAAATGTCTGCTTGCCTGCCTGCCTGCCTGCCTGCCTTCCTTCCTGCCTTCCTTCCTCCCTCCCTCCTTCCTTCCTTCTTTCCTTCTTTCCCTCCCTCCCTCCCTCCCTTCTTCCTTCCTTCCTTCTTTCCTTCCTTCCTTCCCTCTTTCCTCCCTTCCTCCCTTCCTCCCTCCCTCCCACCCTCCTTCCTTTTCTCCCTCTCTCCCTCCTTTCCTTCCTTCCTTCTTTCCCTCCTTCCATTTCTATTTTCAGTTTTCTTTCCGTCTTGCTTGCTTTCTTCCTTTTTTTTTTTTTGGTTGTGGGACGTGAACTTGGCCTGGCCATTGTCACTGAGCTCTTCATCTCAAGGTGAGCACTCCACCACTTGAGCCACAGTGCCACTTCCAATTTTCTGGTGATTTATTGGAGATAAGTGTCTCACGGCCTTTCCAGCAGCTGGCTTTGAACCTTGATCCTCAGATCTCAGCCTCCTGAGTAGCTAGGATTACAGGCGTGAGCTACTGGCACCCGGCTTTCCTTTTTAATGCTGGGCATGGGTGCTATCCATCAGCTTTTGTGCTCATGGTTAATGCTCTACCACTTAAACCACAGCTCCATTTCCGGCTTTTTGGTGGTCTGTTAGAGACAAGAGTCTCACCAACTTCCCTGCCTGTGCTGGCTTTGAACTGGGATCCTCATATCTCAGCTACCTGATTACAGGCATGAGCCCTGTAATACACTATAAGTGTATTTCTTAAAGAAAAACACTTGAAGAAAATTACTCCTGGATGCATAGATTGTTGAATGGATATTGAGTTAGCAGACATGAAAGCAACTTTAATCTTGTATTCTCTCCAGTAGAGCTCTTTCTTGGATGCGTTGTCAGTGAGCAATAGTATTTTCAAAGGAGCCTATTTTTCCTGAGCAATACATCTCAACAAAGAAACATTCAGTAAATATTATTGTCAACAGATGTGCTGTCATCTAAGCTTTGTTATATTTGTAGAACATAGGCAAAATAGATTGAATATAATAATAAGTGCTCTAGGGTTTTCATATTGTAATTGAACATTAAAATCATTAGTGGTACCAGCCTAGGAACTAGAGACATGGATCAAGTGGTAGAGTAC